CTGGCTCAGACTCATCCCTGAGATCCTTGCGTTGCCATTTTTTCACCGCGGGCGTTTTCACCCAGTTTCAGGCCCGGGGACCCTCACACATCGATCTGGCTCGAAAAATGCAGCACAGTTCCAGGGCTCTGGTCGGATGTTGCAACTGTTGCGCAACGTCGGATCACAGGGTTCGTCTTCCTCTTCGTCCTCCTCGTCGTCCTTGCAGACGCTCTTTATTTTACGCTTGGCAACATTCGGGCGAAGCTCGCGGCGTCGTGCAACTGAGGGGTACGCCAAACCAGCTCAGAAAATTATAGCTGGAGCACAAAACCCCCAAACAAGGTTTTTAGACCAACTGCGGTTTTCAAGGTCGATTGCGTGCCCGTCCTGTGCGGACTGGCACGGCATGTTCGAACATGTTAAACTGATGTTTGCGCATGAGATGTTTACACGAAAATGTGTCGGATGTCTGGGGAGGGCGGAGTGCAGGGCGCACGTGACGGATGCTGGGGCAGCAGAAGCGACGACGGCGGGGAGGGGGAGGTGGAGGCAGAGGCGCAGCAGCGGGAGGTGGGAGGAAGGAGGAGGGAAGAGGAGCCAGGCGGGAAGCGGGATCAGGGAGGCGGGAGAGGGAATCAGAGAGGTTGTGATTGGAGCCCCTGTGTTACGAAACGTCCCAGGCAGAACGGGCCAGACCATCTCGCGCGCAACATCTTCGAGCTTCGCATTGTGAGGATGGCTCAAACGAAACGGGCTGGACCACCTCGCGAGCGACATTAAGGAACTCAGTGTTGGAAGGATGCCTCAAACGAAACGGGCCGGACAACCTCTTCAACACGTTCTGACAAGTCCACGTCGCACTCGCTTCCCGTTAGGTCCTCTCCTGCAACTCCCTTCCTTCTCCCTCCTCCTCTTCCTCCTCCTCCTCTTTCTCCTCCTCCTCCTCCTCCTCCTCCTCCTCCTCCTCCCCCTCCTCCTGCCTGCTCCCTCATCCACTTTTTACAAGAGCAAGCGAGCCCCTTGGCGGAAACGCGGAGAAGAAGGGGAGGGAGGGAGGAGGCGAAACAGGACGAGGCAGCTGAGCCTGGAGCTGCCAGCGTTAGCCTCAGTCCGGCGGCCCGGCCTGCGACGCGAGCCGCCGTCGGAGCGCGGCGCGCCAAGCCGCCACCGGCCCCCCAGCCCGCTCCGCTTGGACCAGAACCAGCGCGGCGGCGCGGGGCGGCAGCAAAACGGCCCAGCCAGGGCATGGCCGGGCCGCCATCGCCGGCCAGCGCGGGGCCGCCGCGCCGCAATGGAGGCAGGCGACCCAGCTGGGGCCCTGCGACGCCACGCGCGGCGCGCAAGCACCGCTCTCGAACAGGGCCCTGGCGGCCTCGGCGGCGCCTCGCTGTGGCAGCCCTGGCCCCGCAACCCGCGGCCGCCAGGGGCGGCGGGGGGGCGGCCGTCCTGCGGGCGCGCCTGCCGCTGCCGCTTGCGACGGTGGCCCGCGCTGCTGGTCGGCGCGGGCAGGGAAAGCCCGCCGCGGCGGCCCGCCCGCCCAGCGTCGGCGCACCAGGGGGCCCCCTGGCCCCGCGGCTTTGTGGTTCGCGCGGAGCGCGGCAAGCTCCACGGCCGCCAGCAAGCGTTGGAGCACCCAGAGCGCGCGCAGCCGCACTTGGAGCTGCGTGCAGAGGCCCGACGGGGTGAGCTGGGCGCGCGCCGCGGCCCCCGCCAGCTCGTCGGCGTCCGCGCGATCCTCCGGGGCGACGCCCCGGGCCGCCGCGGCCTCCTCGTCGAGGTGCCCCTTCACCCATCGCGCTGTGACGTAGCCGCTCTGGCAATGCGGCGCCAAACCCATAGGTCCGCGTGCGTCCACTCCCGGGGGCGCGCGCCGGCATGCAGCGCCGCGATCCCGTGGCACACGTACGAGTCGGAGACCAGCTCCAAGGGGGACCCAGCCTCGCTGACGGCGTGCACGGCCGCGGTGAGCTCCGCGCGCTGCGCGGTCTGGGCCCCGCCGACAGGCCCACTGCAGCGCCGCGACACCCCGTTGGGCCCCTGCACGCGCACTCCCCAGCTGGCCCGCGCCAGCAACGGACCAGAGGGGTGCTCGCAAGCGCCGTCGCTCCATGCCCGCACTCGGACCTGCCCAGGGGCCGCGGCCGGGGGCGGCAGGGGGGGCGGCGGCAGCTGCTGCTGGGCCAGCGCGGCGAGCGCGGCCAGGCGAGCGTCCGCGGGCAGCACTCCGGAGAGCTCGACCCCCAGGGGCAGGCGTCCCAGCAGGGCGGCCTCGCTCAAGCCGCCCGCCCGCAACTCAGTGCGGCGGACCTCGCGCCATTTGGGACACCCCCAGAAGCGGTGCTCGCGCGTCTCGTCCGCGGCGCCGCAGCGCGGGCAGCGCGAGGGGCGGCCCCGCTTCGCGGCCGCCGTCTCGGTGACGACGTTGCCCGTGAGGACCGCGCGCAGGGCGCCGGCCGCGTCTGGCGCGAGCCCCTCGCTTTCCAGCAGGCGTCGGGTGGCCCAGCGGTCGAACCCGTCCTCGACGTGCCCGAGGTCGGCGCGCCGCCAAGCCAACGCGCGAGCTTCGCGCCGTGGCCAAGCGTCCAGCAAAGCCGCGCGGGTGTCCTGCAGAGGGCGATCGCCCGGCCGCCAGCCGTCGGGGGCCCATGGCACGCCCTGCCAGCACTCGATGTCGCCGCCGAGGCCGAGGTCGGCCATGCTCCACCGCACAGCTGCGAAAGGCTCCTGCTGGCGTCCGTGGCCGGCATCCACTGCGCCTGCAAGGTCGCGCCATAGCTCCAGCGGCAAGCGCTGGCGGCGCAGCGCCTTCGCCGCCTGCTACAACGGGGCAAGGGCGCCGACCGCGGCGGGGTCGAGGCGCCAGCTCGGACCGAGCACGCCGAAAACGATCTCGGCCGCCGCCCGCAGCCCGCCCCGGCAGACGGCCTGCAGCGCGGCCGACCGCATGCTGGCCAACTCGCGCTCAGGAGTCCGGCAGCACGAGGCGCCGTGCATGCCGGCGGCCGTGCCAGCCGCCGCGCCGAGCAAACAGCGCTGCTGGAAGCCGACTGGCAGCCGGACGATGCGGGAGAACCGCCCCGCCGCCACCCGAGTCCGCGCGCCAGTTACCGCGCAGCCGCGGCCTCGCCCTGCAGTGGACACAACGCCAAGGTCACGGATGCCACAGCTGGCAGCAAAACCTGGGCAGTGCGAGCGGAGCCAGCGGCGGAGACCGGCACTGTTCGAGAACTGGCGGCTCTAGTCCCGGTTGAGACGCCAGTCCATGGCTGTCTCGAACTCCGCAATTAATCGGAGCGCCTCGCGTACGGCCTCCCCGACCTCGGCTGCCCCGCGCCCGGTGCCGCGCGCCTAAAAAGTGAAGTCGTCGACGTAAGCCCTCCGCTCGAGGCGGTCGTCGATCCTGCCGCAACGCCCGCGCGGCACGCCCAATTGTCGGCCACTCCACATGGGCAGCTCCGCATCGGCGTTCGGGGCCCGGCCAGCCGCTCGGCAGCGCCACCCGCCCCACCGCGCAGCCGCTGCCGCTGCCGCTCCGGCTGCCGCTGCCGCCTTTTCGAGCCACCATCCCCAGCAGCCGCCCCCGCCGCACGCGCGCCGAGCAGCCTCCGCACCGCCGCCAGCATCTCGCGGTCGGAGCGGCATGGCCCCCTGCCCGGAGCCCGCTGCCCGACCTCGCGGCGGGGGGGCATCTGGCGGCTGTGGTGTTGCTGCAGCAGGCCAGCCGCCTGGCCCAGCCGCGCCAGCACGCGCGCCTGCCCGCGCGCCCGCCGCTGCCGCCGCTGCCTGGCTGGGCTGCCGGTGCGTGGCCCGCGGGCCGCCGCCGCGGCCTCGCCTGGGCACAGCCCCGGCCCCTATCGGAGCGGACGCGCCCCCGCGCGTGCGCTGGCTGAAGGAACTGAGCCGAACCTGCCTGCTCCCTCATCCACCTCCTCCTCCTCCTCCTCCTCCTTCTCCCTTCCATCTCCTCCTCCTTGTCCTCCTCCTTGTCCACCACCTCCTCTTCATCCCGAACGGCATCGCGGAGCCCAGAACTGCGACGATGTCTCCAGCGTAACGGGCTGGACCACCTCGCGCGCGGCATCTCGGACCCCAGAGTTGCGACGATGTCTCGGGCGAAACGTGCTGCGACGAACTCTCAGGCGAGACGGGCCGGACCACGTCGAGCGCGGCGTCTCAGAGCTCCGAGTTGCGGTGGCCTCCTGGGGCCTCCTGGGGCTTCCTCCTGGGGCTTCCTCCTGGGCCTCCTGCGGCCTCCTGGAGCCCACCTGGGGCTTCCTGAAGCCTCTCGGGGCTCCCAGGGGGGGATGTCTACCATGTGGCCACACGAGCAGGAAAAATCAACGAATCGACACCGGATGTGTATTAACGTGACACGTTCTGATAGGGGGCCTCCTGGGGCCTCTTGGGATCCTCCTGGGAATCTCCTGGGGACCCCTGGAGCCTGTCCGGGGCGTCCTGTGGCCTCCTGAAGCTCTCTGAGGCCTCCTGGGGCTCCCAGGGTGCCAGGAGGGATATGTAACATGTGGTCTTCTGGGCCCTCAGGCTGGACCACTTCTTGCGCGGCATCTGGGAACTCAGAATTACGAGAATGTCTTGTGCGAAACGGGCCAGACCACCTTGCGCACGGCATCTCAGAACTCAGAATTGCGAGGATGTCTCGGGCGAGACGGGCCGGACCACCTCGAGCAGGGCATCTCAGAGCTCAGAGTTGCGAGGATGTCTCAGGCGAAACGGGCTGCACCACGTCGCGCGCGGCATCTCCGAGGTCAGAGTTGCGAGGATGTCTCAGGCGAAATGGGCTGGTCCACCTCTTGCGCGGCAGCTCAGAGCTCAGAGTTTCGAGGATGTCTCAGGCGAAACGGGCCGGACCACCTCGCGCACAACATCTCCGAGCTCAGAGCTCAGGACGTCTCAGACGAAACGGGCCGGACCACCTCTCGCGCGGCATCTCGGAATGCGAAAGTGCGAGGATGTCTCAAGTGAAACAGTCCGTACCACATCTTGGGCGGCATCTCGGG